ATCAGAAGACTGATACTAACTGATTTCAGGATATGTATAGCTATTTTTATCAATAAATTTTATTTTATTATTATAAAATAATCTATATTTTATCAATAAAATATAGATTATTATAAAGATGGGCATTTATAGATCAATGGAATAGAGTTCAAACCCGCACATACCTTGTCAACTGATTTTTGACAAAGATGTCAACAAATCCAAAAGAACAGCATAATATGTTTCTATAACTGTTGATGAAACAACTCAATAATCATGTTTTTAAAAAGAACCAGGACTTTTATGTCACATCATAAACAAAAATTAACTGGTAATGCATCACAGACCTAAACATGAGGATTTAAATTATAAAACTTAAGAGAAATTCATAGAGACCTTGGACATAGAAAAGATTTCTTAAATATGGCATAAAAAGTACAAATTATGTAAGGAAAAAAATAATTGGACTTAGTCAAAATAAGAAGAAATTGCTCATCAATAGATACTGCTAAGAAAATAAAAAGGCAATCTACAGAGAGGAGAAAATATTTGTAAACCATATATCCAACAGAACACTTGTATCTAGAAAAAATAATTTTCCTATGATTTAACTTTTTAAAAAGCCCTCAATTTTAAAAGGTACAAAATATTTGAAAAGTCATGTCACCAAAGAAGATATAAAGATGGCAAATTAGCACATTAAAAGATGCTCAAAATCATAGCCAAAAGGGATATTTAAGTTAAAAACCACAATGTGATAGCACTGTATACTCAGTGGAAAGGCTAAAATTAAAAAGACTAATATGGTAGAAGTTAAAAATGGGTCAAACCAGGGAATAGGTTGACACAGAAAATAACAAGCTTTTTACTTTTCATGTGGTCCAGACAAAAAAAGATATCTTTATGCCATTAAAATTTTATTAGGTCCTCAGGAAACTCATGATGTATTTTTCTGTTTGTTTGTTTTTATGCATAAATGTGTCATGACTTTCCTGACAACCCAACAGAAAAGATACCTATTTCATAATAAGCTGCAACAAAACCTTTAAAGCTGCTTCTGACACATAAATAATTGACGATTATATGGAGCATTTACTATTGTTACATAAATAAAAATTTGACAGGCTTTTGGTACCTACTACTTAGAAGGGAGACTCTAGCCTTGGAATTTCCCAAGATAAGGGATTATCTTTGTTACGGTAATAAGGAAACTTATGGTGCAGGTTGGTCATGCCAAAAAACCAGCCACATGATTAGAGGTTGGGGCTTTAAGCAGTCCAGCCTCCAGAAAGATACTGGGACTGGAGACTGAGTTCCACCACAGAAAGAGTCAATCATGGATGGCCACATAGTGAATTCTGAAGACTGAAGTTCAGTAGAGATTTCTTCGTGTCTTTTTATTTGTTCCTGAGTTATAGTCTTTCTAATAAATTAATTTTAAAAATAATAAACTATAATCATAATTATAGTACTTTCCTGAGTTCTCTGAGTAGTTTTAGTGAATTATTGAATCAGAGAGAGTCTTGGGGATGCCCTAATTTACAGTTACTTGGTCAGAAGTGCATGTGGCCTGTGGAGCCCCTGAACTTGTGGCTGGGATGTAAAGAAGGGTCAGTTGTATGCACAACTGAACCCTTAACTTGTGGAGGTCCTTGTTAACGCCAAGCATTGGGTCACTAGAAAAGTCATGATACACTTCTTCATGTCTTTTATTTATTTATTTTTTAATGCATGTTCTAGTTACCGCTAGAACAAAACTGAAGTACACATGTTATTGTTAGGCCAGTGGGGAATTAAACAGAATAAATGTATTTAATATGTTTACCCTAAACACGTTTACTCTAAACCTTACTGTTGTACATAAACATTCATTTCCTCATAATGCTAAAATAGACACTTCGGGTATAAAAACTTGTGCATTTCAGAAGTAGATTCTTACCAGAGAAAGAATACTAAATAGGTAGTTGATAGACTGATAATATAAAAATGTGCATAATATTTACAAAATAATGATGCTTATGTTATTTGCTACATAATTTTACAACAACTAAGAGCTAAACTGGAGGCTTAATACTTAACCTTTATTAATGGCAGAAAAAAATGGGAAACACATAATCAGGTTCTTTCTATTTACCAAAAATAGTCAATATACATCATCGCCTTGGATGACTGATTAAAAACTCATTAACAAGTCTTGAAAAAATTAAATGTTTTAAAAGACTTTTTTCAAGTCTGTATTTCTTTTCCACACTTCTCATATCAGGTATCATCACAAAGCCCCTGGTGCCTGCATTCTAGATTTAATCAGTGTACATGGTGCTTACCTGGTTTTACAGCTCGCCCACACAGCTGGGGTTGCAGAAGAACTTGTAGCATGGCAGGATTGTTTAAACTTTTCATAATTTGCACTGGATTGGGTTCCGGAAGCAATCCCTTTTGATTACTGTGCATCTTCAGTGATTACAGAAATAAATATCAGAACAAATATTAGTACAGAAGATTTCATTTTAAAGCCTTTCTTTCATAAATTCTTATCTGATAAGATCTACTTTCTGATAAATACAATTCAATTTTTATATTTGTTGAATACTTTCTAAGCACAGTTCTCAGTTATAACGTTCTCAATTAGATGTGCAACCTTGCAAATGGCATGAAATCCTCAAAGAATGTTTTGATTAAAAACCAATTGGTTTTAAGAGGAATGACAATTTAGTACAATAAATGGCTTCATAAAATATAAATAGAAAAATGACAAGAGAATCTGAATTTAGCAACAGGGAGATAAGATGAACACTTTAGAATACTATCACAGAAGAACCTCATTATAATGTTAATCTAAGGGACCAGCAGATGGCATAATGGTTATGTCACTGGACTCCCACAGAGCTGACGCCAGACCCAGCGGCTTAAAACTCACACTGGGCACATATGCATGTGTGCCCAAGATCCTGAGAGAATGAAAGAGAAGGAACTACAGCGTGGTCATCCCCCTTGGGGGGTGATTTCTTGCTTTCTGTCTCTCTGTCTCTGTCTCTCCAGTGAATGCACATGCCCAATAGCAAAAATTTCTCGTAAAAAAAAAAAGTTAATCTAAATAATCTGAATGACCTTATAAATCAAAATTTTCTTATAATAAACTTAATTTCATTGGCTTAATCCTATGAGACTAAAATAAACACACATATATATAAATAAAATAATTGGGAAGCTTGCTAAAAATATGAAATTGTTAGGCCAGCCTGTGGCATGGTGGTTAAGTGGCTACGCTGGGTTCACAGTTCAAGTCCTGAAACCAGTGGCATGAGAAACATTCCAGGTGTGCTTGCATGTATGCCCAAAATTCAGAAAGGAGGGAGAAACAGAGGTGATGGAATTGCAGAGTGACCATCTGCCATGGGGAGGTGATTTCTCACTCCCCCCAACTTTCTCTCCATCAAACACATCTACCCTCTGGCAAAACTAAAGAAAAAAAATATTAGAAATTGTTTTCACTTGTATTAGGTTGTTGAGAAAGTCATGACATATTTTTCTTTGCAAAAATGCCTTATGACCTTACCAACAAAGCAATAAAACCCAGTCTGAAAGGTGGGGATATTAATACACTTATTTAAAAGGACAACTATAAACTTCTAGCCATGAGAAGGGAGAACAAGGACAAATGGATCCCTTTCCCAACCCAGACCCTGAGAGGGAAGCACAATGGATTGGAGAAACTGACGTGCAGGTGTGGGAAACTCCTGTCCTGGAGAGACACTTTGTCTCTTCAGGAAGCATGAGCAGAGAGCACGAGACAGCCTGGGGATAAAAGCCTGGGGAAGGGCTTTCGAGCTGTGAAACTACTCCTGCTTCTTCCACATTGCCTATAGGGGAGCAGGACTTTCCCAGCCAGGACAGCGAGACAGAACAGCCACATCAGCCCCACAACAGCCACAGGGCCCACGAATTAAAAGCAAATGGCACACAGGTGAAGAGGCGGTGGGGAACAGATCCCACTATGGACAGGCCGAGTGGCTGATCACTGAAAACTCCTCACTGGGGACCAACAGTGTAATGGTTACACTGCTGGACTCCCACATAGTCCACGTAGTCGACATTGGTTCAAGTCCCAGACCTGGAGACTTACAACTCACGCTGGGCACATGTGCGTGCGTGCCTGACCCAAATCGCGAGAAGAGAATGGAGGAGAAGGGATTGTAGCATGGCCATCATCCCCTTGGGGGAGAGGGGTATTTCTTGTTTTCTGTCTTTCTGCCTCTTTGGCAAGCATGCCCTATAGTAAAAAATAGTAAAAAAAAATCTCTCCCTTAAAAAAAAGAAAGAAAACCCGTCATTGCCCCATCCTTCTCAGTTTAGGGTAGAAGAGTTCTAAGAGTTTTAACTAAGGAAGGCTGAGGTAGGGAAGGGCAGGGCTGCAGGCAGAGATACAACGAGGCTTATCACTCTCTCCCTTCTAAGTACGAGGTACCAAAGGCCTGTCAAATTCTTCTTTATATAACAATAATATTAAATGCTTCATATAATCGTCAATTATTCATGTGTCAGAGGCAGCTTTACAAAGTTTGTTGCAGCTTATTATGAAATTAGGTATCTTTTCTGTCGGGTTGTCAGGAAAGTCATGACACATTTTTGCATAGAAAAACAGAAAAATACATCATGAGTTTCCTGAGGACCTAATACAATTTCAATGGTATAAAGATATCGTTTTTTGTCCTGACCACATGAAAAATAAAAAGCTTATTATTTTCTGTGCCAATCTTGTCCCTGGTTTGACCAGGTTAACTTTTTTTTCTCTTTTGTAGAAAGTTTTTGCTATTGGGTGTGTGTGCTCACCAGAGAGACAGAGGAAAACAGAGAGACAGAAAAAGTGAAATCACCCCCCAGAGGGGATGGCCATGCCACAATTCCTTCTCTGTTCTCCTCTCAGGATTTTGGCAACGCATGCATCCACGCCCAATTTGAGTTTTAAGCTGCTGGTTCCAGGACTTGAACCACCATTGACAACATGGAAGTCCAGTGACATAACCATTACACCATCTGCTGGTTCCCATTTTAACTTCTACCATGTTAGTCTTTTTTATTTTTCTTTTTAATTTTTCAATTGAGTATATAGTGCTATTATTACATTGAGGTTTTTAATATGAATATCTCTTTTGGCTATGATTTTGAGCATCTTTTAATGTGCTAATTTGTCATCCTTATATCTTCTTTGGTGACATGACTTTTCAAATATTTTGTACCTTTTAAAATTGAGTTGCCTTTTTTTGGGGGTGGGGGAAGATTTTTGCTATAGAATGTGTGCTCATCAGAGACAGAGGGACAGAAAATGAGAAATCACCCCCCGGGGGGGGGGGTGTGTGGCCACGCAACAATCCTTTCTCCTCCATTCCCCTCTGCAGATCATGGGCATGCACACACAGGCACCCAGCATGAGTTTAAGTCACTGAGTCTGAGTCTCAGACTCCGGTCAACTACATGGGAGTCCAGTGACGTAGCCATTACGCTATCTGCTGGTCCCCTAAAATTGAGTTGCTTTTTAAAAGCTAAATCATTAGACCAGCAGTTACGTATTGGCTATGTCGCTGAACTCCCACATAGTCGATCACGGTTCGAGTCCCGGACCCCATGGCTTAAACTCATGCTAGGTGCTGTGCATGCATGCCCAAGATCCTGAGAGGAGAATGGAGGAGAAGGAATTGTGATGTGGCCATTCCCCGGAGAGGGTGATTTCTCGCTTTCTGTCTCTCTGTCTTTCTGGTGAGCACACATACCCTACAGCAAAAACCTCTCTCAAAAAAAAAAAAAGAAAGCATTGCCAAGTTTAAGGTCTCTATGATTTTCTCTGAGATTTTCTTAAGTTTTATCATTTAACCCTTGTGTTTAGGTTTGTGATATATTATCAGTTAATTTTTGTTTATGGTGTGAAATAAAAGTCCTGGTTCTTTTTTTAAGCATGATTATTGAGTTGTTTCAGCATCAATTATATAAAAATATTATCAGTTGACTAGGTATGTGTGGGTCTGTATTTGAACTCTATTCCATTGATCTAAATGCCCATCTTTATAATAATGTATATTTTCACGATAAAAATAGCTACACGTGTCCTGAAATCAGTTAGTATCTGTCCTCTGATTTTATGGTTTTTTTTTTTAAGTTGTTTCCTCTATTGTAGGTCCTTTGCATGGGAATGTAAATTTTAGAATTATATATTCCTGATAATAGTCTTCGTTTTGGAAATCTTTTATATTAACATAGCCACTGGTTTTTAAATGTTAGTATTAGCATAATAAATTAGTATATATACATATATGTATATTTAATAAAATATCCTTTAAATTGTCAAAGTGGGTTTGTACTCATTAAAAATTTTGCTTCTCTCTTTTCTTTTAAAGAATTATTTATTTTATTTAATTTGTTATTATTTTTACTTTGACCAGAGAGAGAGAGAGAAAGGGAACGCAAGAAAGCAAGCTCCAGGTCTGGTACTCAAACTGCAGTCAACCATATGGGAGTCCAGCATCTTAACCATCATGCCACCTGCCGGTCCCAAGGAGGATTATCTCTAAGGTGCAGTGCTGCCTCGCTGGGATGGAAAAGGGCTGTGATCAAGCCCAGGGAGTAAAGACAGAACTTCTCTGCCCTGAGCTCCTGGCCTGCCTTTCCTAAATCAAAGCTAAAACTGGCTTTACCTATCGCCAGTCCATCCCCTTTCCCCTGCACTTCTAAACACTGACGTGCAAGGAAATTGATACCTACCCAACCCCTAGGAAAATATGTATTCACAGAATACTCATCTCCCTAATGCTAGATGGGAAGTAAAAATATTATAAAAAGCATAGTTGCAAGAAAACACGAAGTAAAATACTGAAAAGTATCCTAATCACTTATCGACCTCCAGCCAGCCCAGATCACATGCACGTGTACACGCCTGGTATGTACACGCCCAATGTACATAGATGGGCCCTGAGACGTGAACCTGGAACTCTGCCATGTGGGTCTGTTTATGTTCCCACTGCACCACCATCTGGACCCAGGAAGGAATGTTTCTGAGCATACACAGTATTTTCAACCACATGTTAAACCACAAAAGAAGCTGTAAGATCCTCTCCTGAAACCAACACTAGAGACTAGGTTCTCTGACTAGCATACAATAAAATCAGAAATACGTAATAGAAGAATAGCTTTTGAAAATTCCTAAGTAGCTAAAAATAAATATATAAATGTATATAGATAGACAGATAGATAGACAAACAGACAGACTGACTGACAGGTAGTTGTCAGGAAAGTCATGATAAATTTCTGCATAGAAAAATGTGTTTGTGTATATACGTGTCTGTGTGTATATGTGTGTGTGGGTGTGTGTATTTATTTGACTCTAAAAGGAAATCATAACAAAACTGAAACATAAGTTAAAATATATGACAGGATGAATTCTAAACTTCTCTAATTGCCTAGCAGGTAATGGGTTCCCAGTAAGTACTCAGGGGAATGAATGCTTCTGAAGGGAGAAGAAAGCAAAATAATTGGACGTTTGCAGAGGGAGTACGGGGAAAGATGACTGAGTGAATCTAACACATAACCTTCATATTTCTATAAATTAGGAACCATGATCATCTGAGAGAGAGAAGGACAAAAATAGGAGTAGAGGGAAGGTTTTAGATAGTGCTGTAGACTATTTAAAAAGAGCTAATGTGAGACAAGCTGAAGATTTGCTGGGAGGCCAGCCAAACACATGCTATTCATCTGCAGGGTATCAAGCCACCCAGTCTGGTTTTCTCCAAGAGGACACAGTGCTCTGACTTTAGAAGCAGGTGACTGGATGGGATAGATACAGTATTGTCAACTCAGGAAATCCAATCCAACAAAGTGACAATTTAACCAGAGAACATAAAGTTGATAGTGAATGAGTGGCCAAAGCAATGCATTATGCAAGGAAGAATATAAGGAGAATGTATAAAGGGACAAACTAAGAAAAAAGGGAGCAGTCCAGGACCAGAGGTGAGTCAACGATAAGAGGAGTAGGGTGGGAGATGTGAGAGGAGGGCTAATAGCAGTCTCCTACCTGCTCCTCCCTCCTCTACCATTTCCAGTTCACCTACAAATCACTGGGTGGCTTAACTCTGATCCTGTTAACTACCATGTGTATATATTTTACAAGCTCTCCACTGCTTGGCACATTTGATCTAAATCCTTGTGGGGAGACTACTGTCTTTCCTGCTATGGCATCAACCTCAACTTCCCCATACGTCACTCCACACACTCAGTCCACCGGGACCGCTCAGCACGCCCCAAGCGTGTATTAGGTCATTGGGAAAGTCAAGATGCATTTTCCCATGCAAAAATGTGTCGTGGACACCCGAAGAAATTCAGCTGGTGCTACCGCTTGAGCTGGTTTGTCTCCCCTGGAGTTACTGCTCACTCTCCCTCCTTGGCATTGGCAGGTTGGCAAGTACAAGTGCAGGGTACCCAGCTACATAAAGAGAGGGAAAGTACCTCCCCATTGGGTGCCTCATCATACTGCAATCCTTTTCCAGTTCTCCATCCCATCAGGATCCCTGGCATGTGCACACATGCCTGGCATGTTTTTCACGCCAATGGGGCCAGGATTTGAACTCTGGTTGGCCATGAGGCATCCAGCTTCCTCTGTGCTGGCCCTCACTGCTGTACCACAGAGCTGGCCCTCAATCAACAAATACTTACTATGCTAAACACTGGGATAAAAACCAGGAAGAAGGTACAATGTTTATCTCTGAAGAACTTCCAGGCTAGCCAGTTATGACAATTTATTCAAATTTCTTACAATAAGGAAATACAATATGCCACATGAGCACACATGCTCCTCTGCTTATACTATGGGTATTTATGAAAAGCCATTGAGAAAGAAGCATATTGCACCAAAACTCAGAAGAGAACAAGAACGTGAGCATCTGTTGAATGACCTTCCTTCAAGGAAATTTTCAGGATGAATACACTTTATAACCTTCTTTGTTTTTCCTAATGACCTCTGGCCTGATTTGACATTGATATCATTTGGTCCACATTTTTAAATAAAAGAATGTCTTCAAAGTGATAAAATTATAATGATGGCCCAGTTTGTGATCAATTACTTTGAGTAGCTTGGATAGATTACAATAGTATTAGAATTTTCTATATCCTGGAGCCGGCAGATGGCATGGTGGTTAAGGGCCCTGGACTCCCACATAGTTGACCGCAGTTCGAGTCCTGGACCTGGCAACTTGCTTTCTCACTTTCTCTCTTGCTCTCTCTCTCTCTCTCTCTCACTCACTCACTCACTCTGTCCTTCTCTGGTCAAATTAAGAAAATTAAATAAAAATAGTTCTTAAAAAAAAAAAGAATTTTCTATATCCTAAAATTTCTATTTCTAAAAAAGAAAGGGGGGAGAAAAAAGCTTACCACACGTTGAGCCGCTATCAATGCTGCTAATGTACTTCGCCCTGGCGCTCCCGGGGCACAGAAGGAAACCCGGATTTTGCTTCCCCTGATGGTCATTCCATCCGCCGCATTCCCACATAGTTGACCGCAGTTCGAGTCCTGGACCTGGCAACTTGCTTTCTCACTTTCTCTCTTGCTCTCTCTCTCTCTCTCTCACTCACTCACTCTGTCCTTCTCTGGTCAAATTAAGAAAATTAAATAAAAATAGTTCTTAAAAAAAAAAAGAATTTTCTATATCCTAAAATTTCTATTTCTAAAAAAGAAAGGGGGGAGAAAAAAGCTTACCACACGTTGAGCCGCTATCAATGCTGCTAATGTACTTCGCCCTGGCGCTCCCGGGGCACAGAAGGAAACCCGGATTTTGCTTCCCCTGATGGTCATTCCATCCGCCGCATGCTGCGCCTCTTCAGCCTGCTCTGCAGTGTTATATTCAACCACTGCAAAGCCACCGACATAGCTACCTTCATCCTGCGCAAGCTGATGTAACACATTGTATTAAAAGGGAACTCTGATATGTACTTACAAACATTTATTTATAAAATACAATTTTAAAATTTAAGAACATCTGTATCAGAGCATCATGATGGTGAAAATAATGTATTCGTTCTCTATAAAAATAGAAGTTTACTAGTTGCTAGATGCAGTCTTTCCTGAAGAAAGGAAGATAAGTCTGTCCAGTTTCTTTTCAACTCTTAAAACCCAAATGACAACAGCCCCAATGTACTGAGAAATGCATATATTGGTAATTTATAGGAAGATGTGGACACACATCACTTAAAACAAAATTCACAAGATACATGGATAATGAAACACTGTGAACAATTATTTGACCACATACCAATGTAAAATAAATTCAGTAATATTAAGAGAAGAAAGGGAGGAAGAACCAAAGTCAATTTTTATTTCAATATTTAAGGCAGATCCCAGGAATTTGGGCAAGTATACCAAAGCAAACCTTATTTAGGAAAACTGTGCCCCAGACGTAAAATGCCATATGCAACGTACAACTTTTATTTCCCTAAGTAATGTGCCCTAAGTAAACTCCTGCTGTGAAGAACTTGATTGATTTCCATCACCCACCTGTAAGGGTGTAAAGGAAGAAAGTCAAGTCCTGGATCTGCAGACTGGTGCAAAGAGCAAAAATAAGAACAAAATAAGACACTAAAATGTTTCTAAGTTTTGAACAAGTCTGAATTATCTTAAATACATTCATGACATAAAGTGATAAATGTGACAAAATTCAGCGAAGTCTGTCCTTGAGAAGACACGTTTATAACACTTCTGACTTTGACATCTTCTAAGTTGATACTGCAGTTAAGTCATTTCTTAGTCCTTTTTAGTTGCTTTTCACCTAATTTTTGAGCTTTACTTTCTTCTACTTTCTTGCAGTGTGCAGACCAAATTTCTACTTTCCTTCACATTCTTCTTTCAAATATATTTGTCCTCAAATATCATCCCCCTTCCATATAAAATCTTGTCCAATCATGTGGGGCAAGGGAAAAATGCATACCTCTTCCAAACATTTCTCTAACAGTCCTACTTCTCTTATCATCAAAGCAAGTACTTATAAAAGTCAGTAGTTCCTTTAGACTCTTGACCACAAGGTAAGAGACTCTATCTTCAATATAGTCCACATTAATTTACCAAGCAAAAGAGCCAGAATTTAACAGGCAACTGAGAAAGAGCCATTCTAAAGTTGTTGTATTAATGTTTTTAAAACTTAATTTTCTTTTTATTATTTGTTTTGTTATGATGTTTTTTGGTTTTTGGTTTTTGATTTTTTTTTTGAGAGGGTTTTGCTATAGGGAACATGCACTCGCCAGAAAGACAGAGACAGAGAGACAAAAAGTGAGAAATCATCCCCCCCCCCAGGGGGGATGGCCATGCCACAATTCTTTCTCCTCCATTCTCCTCTTGGGATCTTGGGCATGCACACACATGTGCCCGACGTGAGTTTAAGCCACCGGGTCTGGGACTTGAACCGCAGTAGACTACATGGAAGTCCAGTGACATAGCCATTACGCCAACTGCTGGTCCCTCGTTATGATGGTTTTTATGCCTATATAAATTATAGTATCATTTTAAGTCTTCCAAAGGACAAAATCATCTTAAGTCCACAATATCAGCACTTTCAGAAAGAAAAAAAATTCAATTCAATTCAATTATTAGAGCCATTCAAAGGTATAATGGTCTGATTTGTGACCTAGTTAATTTTCCACTATTTTGAAATATTTTGGCAGAGCTAAGTGGTCACTCTAAAATATTAGAGCAAAGATTCTCTAACAGATATAAAGCTAAACTAATCACTAAGTTCTCTTCCAACTTTGAGATCATAATTTGAATACAATTTATGATAAAGGCTATACCCCTCACATTTGCTTCAAAGGTCCCAACTAATGCTACTAAGAATTCTTATGTGTGGCCACAGGGTGAATTCAGTATGTAAGTCTTAATATTCAAGAATAGCATGTCAACAAGTCAAATCAGGGAATTGGTCAGTAGTACAATGTTAAAACATAATGCTCGGTGAGGCTGACCCACATGAGAAGGTTCTGGGTTCATGTCCAGAAGCCTCCCTGAATATTCTGGGTACACTTGTGCAATGATCTGGAGCTTGCTGGGGGCCCTGTTGGAGGTAATGACTCTCTGGCTCATGGAAGAAAAATAACAAATACAACTTTTTAAAAGCCGATCGACTTTCAATAACTGGGCAAAGATTTGATAAAATATATGCTAAAAAAATTTCTAGTTTTATAAAATTCTTTATTTTTTTTTAATTATTACATCAAGATTGGTGGGGTGGAGATATAAGAAAAAATTAAGATGGTAGCAACTGTCTTAAAAATATATTTTGCCACAAGATCCCACTCATAGGTTGAATCTAAAAAAGTCGATCTCACAGGAGAGAACAGAATGATGGTTACTATGGGCTAGAGTAGTTAAATAAGGGATACGGTTGGGATGTCAGTCAAAACATAGAGAATGTCAGTTGGACAGGAAGAATGATTTCAAGAGAGCTATTGTATAACATGGTAACTAGAATTAATAACAATCTATTGTTTTTTTTTTTTTCTTTTTTTGGAGAGGTTTTTGCTATAGGGTGCGTGCGCTCGCCATAAAGACAGAGAGAGACAGAGAGACAGAAAGCGAGAAATCACCCCCCCAGGGGGGATGGCCATGCCACAATCCCTTCTCCTCCATTCTCCTCTCGGGATGCACGCACACGTGTCCAGTGTGAGTTTAAGCCACCAGGTCCAGGACTCGAACATAGCCATTATGCTATGCTATGCTATGCTGGTCCCACAGTGTATTTTTGAAAAAATGCTAAGAAAGTGATACTTACCAACTTATTTTTGAAAAAATGCTAAAAAAGTGATGCTAAGTATTCTCATCATGTTGTACTGGATAAATACATCCAATTTTATTTGTCAGTTTTAAAAGTAATCAAATATATTGGGGGGCAGGCAGGCAGGTAGCATCGTTGTTAAGGGTGCTGGACTCCCACTCCCACATGGCCAACAGCAGTTCGAGTCCCAGACCTGGCAGCTTGTTTTCTCACTTTCTCTCTCTCTCTTTCTCTCCCTCTCTGGTCAAATTTAAAAAATAAAGAATTGACTATTTGCTATAAAAAAATCTACAAGGGGGACTAGCAGGTGGTATGGTGGTTAAGGTGCTGGATAAACTCACATGGCTGACCATGATTTGAGTCCTGGACCTGGTGGCTTTCTCTCTCACTTTCCCTCTGTCTCTCTCTAGTCAAATTGAAATAAATGAATGGATGAATAAAATTAAATAAATAATTTTTAAAAATCTATAGGGTAGAAGTTATAGATAGTACATAACTTTGACCATTCATTCAAATATACTTAGCTTTACTACGATAAAGTACTTGAAGTTCTCGTTAGTGTTATCAGTTTACAAAATCTTCTCTAAATGTCTCACGTACAATGACCCCATTAAGATGGAATTATATATTCTTCTTAAACCTTATAATTTTCTTCTCTTCTCTGTTGTAACATTCTTTATGCAGGATTGACAAATACTTGCTTACTCGTCACTCTCTTCTACCACACTGTTACTGAGATAAATATCAAGCCTGTTTTTCTGACACTTAGCACAGAATCTGCACTAGGAGAGGAGGCAGTAAATAAGGGTCAGACAGACAAATGCATCAAGAGATGAGTGATGGCACAAACAGATGGGAAGAGAAGAAGAATGAGTAAGCCATGGGCTTGCTCAGGTGTATTTAACTACATAACAACACAGGCTGGCCTATCAGCAGAAGAATTTACTATTTTCCATTAGATTGAAATCTTCACTACAGACTAAAGCAGAATCGAACCATCCTTTGTGATATCCACATAGGCATGATAAATAAATGTAAAAGTGCATGGAGATACAGATGCAGATCTTATAAGTATTTCTAAGGAGCTTTTACAAATACATACCTGGCAAAACACAGGTTTATGGACACTGGAAAAAAACTGCAGCAGCTCTTCTGAATCCCGGTAGTCACTAGGGAGTTTATCTATACAAAGGCACTTAGAATGAATGAGCTCTGAGGCCAAGAGATTAACATCCATCCATTGTGCAAAGAGTGCTGATGCTCCCAACTGTTTGCCCAACAGCTCCAACCTGGCCTTTGCAGCGAAGTCTTTTTTCATGTATTCCACAAATCCATAGCCTTTGGAATGACCAGTGACTTCACTATAAACCAGGAAACATCTCTCAATATTTCCATAAGCACGAACGAGTTCCTCAAATTCTTCTAATGTAAAAGAAATGGGCAGGTTGGTAATACACAGCAAAGCATCTGTTGGCTGGAGCTGGACTATTAATTCCTTTCCTCGAAAAGAATATTGATGAAACATCTGAATTGCATTCTGGGCTTGTTCCCCATTCAATAAGGTTACAAATGCTGGAAGATAAAAATAATAATAATAATAATGAATTCAAAGAGTTTTTAGTAGGCCAGTATTTTCAATTATTATTATTTTTTTGGACTGTGACCCACAGTGAGAAATACGTTTTATGTCTGTGACTCGGTACATACGTATTTGTCTGAAACTAAATCATCATTAAGCGATACCACTAGTAATGTAATATAATCATATTTTTTATTCTGCTTCACCATATATTTTTTTTTTGAGAGATTTTCACTGTAGGGCACGTGCGCTCGCCAGACAGACAGAGAGAGACATAGAGACAGAAAGCGAGAAATCACCCCCCAGGGGGGATGGTCACGCCGCAATCCCTTCTCCTCCATTCTCCTCTCGGGATCTTGGGCACGCACGCACACGCGCCCGGCGTGAGTTTTAAGCCACCGGGTCCGGGACACGAACCGCGGTCGACTACATGGGAGTCCAGCGACATAGCCATTACGCTAACTGCTGGTTCCTTCACCATATATTTTAATGCGGACCTATCTACCAAACTTTTGGGCTGCTGGAAAAGTCATGACACATTTTTGCATAGAACAAGTATGTCTTGACTTTTCCGACAACTCAATTTCATGATTAGCAATTTAAGTAGAACGTATAATGAATTATATTAGGAGTTTTACTGTAACATCGTACAACATTCTGGATTTTTTGTTAATCCTTTCCAGCTACATAGAGATTGATTTTCCCTTCTAACAAACCGTGATGAAGTTTCATGTAGCCTTTATAAAAATTCACATTGATGGGGCCGGCAGTTGGCATGGTGGTTAAGGTGCTGGAATATCACATGCTGACTGTGGTTTGAGTTCTGCATCCAGTGGCACATGTGCGTGGACATCTAAAATCCCGAGAGGAGAAGGGATTGCGGCATGGCCATCCCCCCAGCAGTTGATTTCCTCACTTTCCCTCTCTTTGTATCTCTCTGTCTCTTTTCTCTTCAGCAAGCACACGTGCCCTATGACAAAAACCTTAAAAAATAAACAAAACTCACGCTGAAATAAAAATGAAGTATAAAATGTTTCTTTCTTCCTGGGGAGTTCTAAAAAATACCACTGGATAGCAAGAAGTTGAAAAACTAAAAGTATGGCAAAAAAAGACACCAAAATGCCCAAAGCAAACTAGTTCTTTCTCCAATTCATGTATTTCCTGAAAATCAGATTAATTAGACTGAAAAATTACACACAAATACAATTTGGTATACTTTTTTGATGAATAATATTGAATGAAAAGATGAAGATGCTTATCTTGAACATGTAGCTTAATTTGAAATCTTCGTAAAAACAATAGAAAATATCTGTCCTGTTCATCTAACAAAGTTTTTTTCAGCATTGAGCAAGAAACGCATATAATAACATATATATCATCTAAAACATGGTTCAGGGCCAGTAGATGGTATGGTAGTTAATTAAGGCACTGGATCCTACGTGGCTGACTCTGAAATCCGTCCCAGACTCAGCAGCTTGAAAAACACACTGGGTACCTGTGAATATGTGCCAAAAATACCAAGAGGAGAATGGAAGAGAAGGGAATGCAACATGGCCTTCCCCCCAGGGGGTAATTTCTCACTTTCCATCTCTCTCTGTTTCTCTCTGGTGAGTTTACATGCATGGAGCAAAAAAATCTTTTAAAAAAAAAACAAGATACAAATATAAAACTCTAAGTCTGTGACATAGCATATGTATTCCTATATCTGGTAAAATTAGCTGTATAAATGTGTTTATCTGTTGTCATAAGAGACTATAAAGATTTTAAGCAATTTGTAAGTTCAGAGTCCCCATTAAGGACATAGCACAGAGTAATCCACAAATCACAATTAATTGCTCTTTAAAAGTTCCTTCAGTGAAGTTGTTCTGGGTACAGTTAATTTATCCAAATTCATTTAGGACAGCATGGTAGTGTGTGGCCTATGGCAAATAATGTATAAAGCAAGGAAAAAACAACTGAAAGAACCTGGGGACCTCTGCCCTCACTTAGTCTTGGTGCTCATGCGGCTCTCAGAGCACGCCTCACCACACTGAGTGTCATGCAAACACTTAAACACATTTTGCATTTAATGTGATCTCTGCATGCACGGGAATTACTGTCAAAGGGAAGCTAACTCTTCCAATATTGGAGGAAAAATGGCTTTCCCACTGCTACTGAGAGAATATCAGTTGGTTTCCAACACCCTTTTGAAAGAGTTTGTGTATTTTCATTCTATGTCCTTTTTCCTTATGCTGATAAAATACCATTATATTCTACTTCCCTAAAACAAGCCAACAAGCCAACAACAGTTTGTACATACCAGTTAAGTTCCCGTACCAGTCCATAAATTCATCAGGTCATATCTGACTTGCAGTCAGGGCACTGGAAATTTGGTAACCATTCTCTTTCCTGGTTTCCAAATTACATACTTATTCCTATTCTCCACGTATATACCTGTCCAAACACTCTTCCTCCACTTCCCTTGCTATAATAGAGCTTCATCCTCCACTCACACTTGTAAGACGGTACTCCTGAATGTGTTTTCCTGGCAGATTCACACATGGTAACACCTGTAACCCCAGACCCTTAAATCTCTCCTCTCTCAATCTATGCCCTCTTTCTGGCAAATCTATCCATTCCCATTTATTCAGTATCATGTGCCAGGTACTATGTTGGCCCCTGGAAATGTGTTGGTGAGTAAAACAGTAACATCCCTTTCAACAGAGTCCACAGTTCAACAGGGGATGCAGACATTTAACAAAGAGTTACAAATGTGATGCTATCAAAAAGGAGATATGAGGGGTCATGAAAACAATTAAACAGAAGAAAAGTAACCAGGTTTAGGGCTCACATAAGGCCTCCTGTACCCTACCAACTCCCCAAAACTTTTCTAAACTCCAGTTCAAATATATCTTACACACAGGACCAGCAGGTGACGTAGTGGTTGAGTCACTGGACTCCCACATGGCCAACTGCAGTTTGAGTCTCAGACCTAGAGACTTGTTCTCTCTCTCTCTCTCTCTGGTGAGCACGCATGCCCTATAGCAAATTTAAACAATAATAATAAATAAGATGAAATAATTTTAAATATATTTATTTTTAAATATATACCACACACACACAGAGATATATATATCTTACACACGGATTCTCACCTGACTATTCAAATGTAACTCATAATCTTCATCCTCTCTATGCCAAAAAATACCCCCCAAAAGAAAACCAAACCAACCCTCAATATTGCTCATCTTCTTTCATCCCATTAGAGCTGGTGGCACCACACTTACAAATAAGAAAACTGGATTTAACCTAGTCTCTGTCCCCCCTCATCTCCCATATAAAAAGAACCCTCCAATCTCATCCTTCAGATCGGTCTTGAATCCATGTTCTTTTCTTCATTTCTCTCATTTTCCCTCTTGTTAAGTCTTTGTCCACAACGGCAATAAAGTCATCTCTCAAAAACAGAAGTTTAGGGCCAGCAGGTGGTGTGTTGGTTGGGGCACTGGACTCCCACATGGCCAACTGAGACTCAGATCCCAAACCTAGCAGCTCATTTCTCACTTTCCCTTCTCTCTCTGTCTCTCTGGTTAAGTTAAAAAATAATAGGGGCCAGCAGGTGGCGTGGTGGTTAAGGGTGCTGGACTCCCACGTGGCCAACTGCAGTTCTACTCTCGGATCTGGTGGCTTCCTTTCTCTCTCTCTTTCTCACTCCGTCCCTCTCTGGTCAAATTGAAATGAGCAAATAAATAGAGTTAAATAAAAAAATAATTCTTAAAAAAGAAAAAAAATATTTAAAAAAAGATGCCATTAATGGTTATGAGTTCAGTTTCTAATATGTGAATATAATCCTCTTGTAGAATATTAAGAATGAGATGTCCAAAAGGTTGCTGGAAATTTGGTCTGAAGCTCAGGAAAGTAGTAATGCTAATGACAAAGATCTGAGCATTGTCAGAGTGGAATCTCAAACACAGTAGCTTGCCGTAAGCTACCAAGCACACTAAAGACATGCACGCACACATGCGGATACAGAATTTAGCAGCTTTTATTGGTCCTAGCTGATGTTTAACAAGAGAAAATAAGATGTATCTTTAAAAAAATGTAAATCATCTACCACGTTTCCAAGTGAATCTTGACAAGTAGATCATAAGAGGAGCAAGGCCTTACAAGTCTTACTGTGAGCCCCTACATAGGTGGTGTTACCAGCCCGAAGAATGTGGAAATGGTGATAAGGATATGAAGAATTGCTAGAGTAGATGTAGCAGTGACTTTTCAGTCCTGTGTTCTCCTGTTTTCTCATGGGAACACCTAGGAGGATATATATTAATCCCATGAGAAGTCAGGTTTCCATTTAAGATTGGGGGACCTCCCCATTTTGAGAGAGGCTTCAATGAAACATACACACACTAAAAGGCATTGTTGGGTTCATTGGGAAAAAAATAGACTCATTAGGAAAATACAGGTGGTACAATGACATTAGTATATCTACAAAAAAACGTAATTAAAAAATCTTATAGAAAAGACCTGAGGTATTACACAGCTATGCTAATTCACAGCAATGCAAATGAGGTACCTTACAACATGAGTAATAAAACATCCTGTAAGAAAAGACTCAGAATTCTATATACATTGCTGGGGAAGAGGGGGTTAGAAGGGGAGGCTGGTAGAAATGTCCATTTAAGTATAGGACCTTGAGTAATTTTCTCTTATCATGAAACCATAATAACCAAAAATAAGCTTATGGATGTAGCCATGGTGACATATGAGTTGGAACGCATGCCATGTACAAAGGTGAGTAATAAAAGTGAAGCAAACGAGCAAAAATATATCAAAAGTGACTAAAATTATGTGTTTTCATTGTTAAGAGATGTAGTGAAATTCTCATCTAGTGAATTCCGATTCAGCATTTCCTTGATATATCTTTTATAATTTTCACTCTAATTATAATGAAAACCATTTTTCAATGTAATTTTGCAATAAAAATGTTTCTTTATTTCTCATTACATAAGAACATGCT